CTGTTCTTCATCAAGGAACCCTCTGCAGGTCCTCCCGTCCTCTCTGCCCACCATGAGCATCTTTATTTTCCTCTGCTTGTCTCTAACCCCAATAGCAACAGATCCACACTCTGGTGTGTGGAAAGCCATCCATCATTCACTGCTGAACAAGAGGTCCAACTCTCTGAATGCTGGGGAGAGATTGCTTTTCCAATATACTTTTTATATACAGAGGCAGAGGCAATACTTTCAAAAAGCCAAGTGAGATTCACTGTGATTCCAGTGTGTTAAGGGTCTAATCCCTTAATAGATTTATATCCCTTAATAGATTTATGCTTCTACCTTAATAGACTCTATGATTCTAATCCATTGACTCCATTGTGTGCATCTACTTTCTCATAGTTAATTATTTTAAAGAAGTTATACAGCAAAATGTGCTCATTCCTCTAAACATCACCCAAATGTAATGATAAAAAACCAAAGTGATCACATCATTTGAAAGCAACCTGGACTGGCAACTTGCAAACACAAAGCAACCTAAAGTATTTCAGTGCTTTCCAGCTCCTCATGCAGTGCTTCAGAAACCACAGAATCACAGAATGGTTTGGGAAGGGACCTTGAAGTTCACCCAGTTCCACCTTCCACTGGAGCAGCTTGCTCCAAGCCCCTGTGTCCAACCTGGCCTTGAACACTGCCAGAGACGGGGCAGCCACAGCTTCTCTGGGCAACCCATCCCAATGCCTCACCACTTTCTTAGTGAAGAAACCACACTCAGCTCCATGTGTTGGCTGGTTTCAGGTCCTTCAAAACCTGCCCATGTTCAGCTACATTAAAATTTGTCTTCACATATGGCAATCATAGCCTGATGGAGCGTACGCCTATGTATGGAGCAGTTTAATACTGCACTCAAATGGACACAGAGATCAGAATTACCAAAGTATGTGCATAAGCATCAAAAGATGTAAAGCATCACCCAGTAAGAAGTTGCATCTAACTTGCTTGTGTGCTTTTAGAAACCACAGGAGATTAAATCTTTCAAAGCACTTTATCAGCTTCATGATTATATCTGAGTCCTTCCAGGGGCCAGCAATGGCATTCACAGATCTTGCACAGCCAAGAGTAGAGAAAAGCCCCATACCTGGGTGACAGATGCCACAATCAGAGGACTCTTATGTTTACTCACATAATTGATCGCATCATATATGCACAAAATGCTTTCGGTTTCCCAGAAACTTAATGCATTTTAAGGTCTGGACTAAACCCTGGATCCAAAGCCAACTTCATTAATGGAGTGTGTCACTCTGGGAGAATGAATGTCAGCTCAGGGCAATGCCACGCTGGGATCCCTCCCAGCATTACAGCTATTATATGTCTGCCCTGGATGGTCTCTGGCAGGCAGTGTTTCCCCACAGTTATGACCTTTTAAACATAGAAAGGGAGCCAAGAAACCCTTAATGCCCATGTGAAATGCTTCCTGCCTGGGGCTTGTCTCTCCAAGAGAAGACAACGTGTTTCAGGCTCTGGTCTAACACAACCAATGTTACCTGACCGACAGCTCCTGTGAAGCAGGATCTGGCACACATTAACCAGTGTGCGTCCCGAACAGGGTGTGAGGATAAAAGCTGAAGCCAAACAGATGGTCTTCGAAAAATCTTCCCTAAAGTGTTCTGTGTACTCAGACTTCACTTACCCAACTCTCATCAAACTTGGCTTGATTTGCAAATCTCCAGCCAAGTTTGAAGAAAAATATTCAACTGGAAACATGCAGGGAAAAGAGCAATTTTCTTGCACTTAAATAATATAAAAATGAAACAATTTTCTTCAAACCCTAGGAAAATTTAAGCAAAACAGAACCCAACCCTCTTGGGTTTGAAACCGAGTGCTAGAAAACAACCATCAACACGGAATGCAAAAGGATGAACAAATGAGGATGAAGTGGAAGGAGAGCTGGAGCTGCAATGTATAATGACCTATCAACACATTCTGTAATGCATACAGCACTTCAGCAAAGACGGAAATCACATCTGCACCGAGTATGGGCATCCATAGTTTGAAAGCAGAGAGCAATGTTGTGCACTTCACGATCCTGATTTCACCATCACCCACCCACAAATACAGTTACTCATCAGTAGCCCTGACTAGCAACAACTGGATCCTCAAAATAGTAACCACTAATCTTAGCAGCATGTTCAGGATTAGCAACTGAATATCATATCCAGTTAATACAAGAATGTAACTGGGCACTATTTAAATGAATCTGAAAATGATCTAAACCTTTTGAGTTCAACAAAACTAACTAGATGAACAGCATCATGCAGTTGTAAAAACATGGACTTCATAGTAACTCATAGTAATTCATACATGGTAACTTCTCTTTATTTTCATGTTTAAATGTGCTTCACTAGATGAAGTGTTTGCATGAGCATATGCCCCTTTTTAAACAAGAAAGAAGCAAAAGCATTTCTGCAATAATACTACCACAATGAAATCCCAGCCTTGGTCTGATTACAGCTTTGACTTAGGGTGGGGTGAAAATTGATCTGCCCAGTAAAAGAGAGGTTCTCTATAGATACAAACCACTGCATTTATGCTTAGGGAAGCCCAAATTATTTAAATATAATTTAATTACATGTCTGATTTTAAAACTGGACTTTTCCTGCCATTAATTTGAACTGTCATTCTTAGGGAGTACCTAAATCATTAGATGTCCTTGAAAGAATACACCCTGACTGTACTAAAGTTAAGCCAAGTTATAGCCAAGTAACATTCATGTTATTTGTTCTCAGCAAATGTGATTTTCTTGCTGCTGGTGAACACATCTGTGTGTTGGTGTAAATAGACAGGAGAATATGTCCAGCTTTCTTGTTCGTGCTCTGCACAGTGTACTGCATCTATGGCCCTCAAAGAGGAAGTCATTAGCTTAATAATAATTCCTGACAGACTCCAAATGAGATATTCCAATAGATATTGCCATGGCTCCTGGGGTAAATAAAAGGAGAGTTTTATCTTCAAGATGGGAAAGCGAGAATATACAGCGCTAAATGATGAGTGGGGGCTCTGAGACTAATTGTTAAGCAGGAATATTTACAAGCAAAGGACTGGAGAATGGGTTTATCATTGCAAGGTAATTATCCAAACACAAATAACTTTAATACTTTGGCATTTTTATAGCCACCACATTATTTATTTTACTACAGTCTATTGAAATACCATTCCCCTGGTTACAAGTACACAGCACTGCATACTTTATTTTTACTTTATATAAAATTGAAATAAAAAGGAACACTTTAAAATGAGTGGAAGAACAATAGGTCCTATTTAACCATCAACTACAACAGTATTTAACTTCTGTGCTTTTGATCAATATTTGTGTGACAAGCTATTCATTACTCTTCTCTTCTACTGCTTTAATGCTGTTGTTCTTCTCACAGCCTGATCTGCACTTTTGTGTGTTTAATTTATAACAGTTTCCATGGAAAATAAGTATTCAAAGAAAAAAGGTGCTGAGACAGCACCTTCTACCAAACCACAAATCTTTTCTAACGTTCATCTTAAACTGAAAGTAATTCTGGGAAACAAATTAATGATATAAATCACATTATCATTACTCACATAAAGATACTCTGTTGTAACTCTTTCAGAAAGCTACAGTGAGTAGTAGCTAAAAGAACTCTATATGGAGAATGCCTGTTTCTAATTAAATTCTCTAAAAATAGGGTTGCACATACATCTAGGACCAAGCCATCTGTGTTATCTCTCTAGGATAAGCCATCCTACACCCACAATGATATCCCTTTCATCACTGCAGATATTCAGAACTGGGACTGGCCCTTCTTTCCCAACTTAGGAAAGAAAAAGAAAAAAGGAAGCAAAGTTTTAATTCAGATAAGGTTCTTTAAAAGTTAGATCCCTTTTTTTGAAATCTCTTTTCACACCTACTTCTGTCAATCAGCAGAGAGATCCAAAACCACATCCCACAAGCAGAGGCAACAGTCAAGTACGACTTCTCCATGAAACACTTTCCCAGTGTAGTAAAGAAAGCTGTTTCTAATGGGCTGCATTGCTTGTGTTTGATGGTTTTGATCCCCCCCTCTTCTTTGAGACCTATCTGAAAATGTATCTTTATTCTCCTCATTCTGACAATTAACAGAACAGTATAAAAAAGCTGGAATGAAACGGGACCCATGTCAGAAAGGTTGGATAAGAGATTCCCATGACATCTTTGGTGATACTAAACAACAAAAACCTGTCTTCATACTTCAAGTAGGAGACCAAGGAGACAGAAAACAGCCCTTCTCTCTTAAAAAACAGCTACCCACATTATCTGCCAATGACTGAGGGGAAGAAAGGAGGAACGCTTATCAGGGCCTGTCAAGAGGAGGAAACAATCTCTGCTTAGTCAGAGGCAGTGACAGATTATCCCCTTGTTAGGCAGAGAGAAAGCAGAGCGTGAAAGGAGGCAGGGGGTTGGAACAAGATGATCTTTAAGGTCTTTTCCAACCCAAACCATTACGTGATTCCTTGATTTCAAGGGAGACTTACTCCTGATCCCCCCTGCAATACACAGGATGGCATTTGGGGGCCATTTCCCATGAGGGGCTCCAGATAATGCCTCAGGCTGCAGCCAACAAAGCAACATTATTTCCACTTTTCCTTAGATTTCTTGCTGTCAGACTGCATTTAGTGAAACAAATGCATTTGTTATATTTGTCCATCCCTCAGTTTGGGGCTATTTTGCTGTTGCATGATACAATCTCAGGCAATGTGTGTTAACCTCGTTAGACGAATTGTTTCACTTCAAGCTTCCATTTCTGCCATCAGGAATAAGAATGCCACTTTACAGTAAAAAGGTATTAATTTCAACCAATTTCTTCAATTAAGTAAGTAACAGTTTTAGGCAACAGACTCCACAAAAAACACTCTTACAACCAGTATGATGAAGTAAGTGTGTTTAGTTCCCCCTAAAGCCTTCCCATTGTTATATACCTTAGAAGAAAATAACAGGCAAAATGAAGACTAACCTTTGAATAAATGCCATTTACTGGTCTCCACTGTTCTCCATTCAAAAGGAAGGGAATTGTTATCTCGTAATCTTTTGACTGGTCCTTTGGCATCTGCTGTCTTGAGGATTCCAATTTGCTGTCCACATTGTCACCTAAGGACAGGGAGAAGTACTTCATATTAGTCAGGAATCTGACAACATGAGCCTTGTCATTTAAGGGACCTGGCAGTATATTTTGAAAGGAAATACTTCGGGAAAAGACCTGAGCATTAAAACATTGTGGGGTCATATTCTCAGAGTCCAAACCTACACGTATTTCCAAGAGAGCTGGGATTCTGGGAGAGAAGTGTTGAGGCTCATTAGATGTGCACTTCTGCAGCAGCAGAAGACAGAGACTGCACGTAAGGAGCAGAGATACCAAGATGCAAAGATAAGGAACTGGGGTGCAAGACTCAACTAAAAACAGCTGAAGAGATATAGGCACCGCTATTTAAAGTGTTACATTAAAAATCACATTAGAGTTTGGATTTATTTTCTCCATTGAAGACGACAGCAGGAGGGAATGCAGAGGGTGTCTTGTCTTTTCAGTGTCATCATTAAGAGGGTAAGAAAGCTGCAGGGATTTAAGAGATAAGATTTTATCAGGACTGTGTTTCTCTAATTAAGGTGAGAAATTAGCCTTGATCATTCCACTCCCCAATCCCTCTTCGCCTCATCCCTCTTCCAAGATACAGTCGCACTGGATCAGATTCAAAGCGGAAGTGGTGATTGGAAGAGGGATGGTGCCCTTGCGAGTGTCACTAGAGCCTTAAATCACCCTGGGATGAACAAACCCTGCAGTTGCTTGACACAGGCTCCCTAAGGACAAACAGAAACCCAAGATTTTCCTCATGTCCTTCCCATTCCTGTGATGGGGTCAGCTGGTCCTCACACTTCACAAGCTGGAGTTACAGCATGGATGCAACAACCCACTCCTGAAAGGCTCTGGGTTTATGACACACAGCAGATTTACCATGTGTAGTCTTTGGTATTTTATGAAACCCCAAACACTTCTTAAAGCACCATCTTACTCTGCTAAACACAGAAGCGTACGGCTGTACTCCATTTTAACTAGCCTGAACTGTATACAACAGACTGAATATTTACTTAGCAGCCACAGCATGGACATGTAAGGAAGTCACAAAGTACCAACAGCCCCCTAACATCACGGATGCACATTGTCATTGGTGCATTGTCATTAGTGCATTTGGAGGGGGGGAAAGTCTGGAGAGGAATATAAACTCTCACTGAATTAATGCTCTACTCCTACACAGTCAGACGACTTCAATTCATACCACAGTGTCAAAAAGCCATTTGCATGCAACATTTATCAAGTGTTTTTCCTCTCACTAAACATACGAATGGTACTGTGCCCGTCAAAGCAAAGTCTTAAAAACAGTGTCATGGGACAAGAGCTGGAAATGGGATTGAGAATAAATCTTAAAGAGAAGACAAAGATGGCTTTCAGGCGCTGTGGGGCAGTTAAAACACCAGTGGGGATTCACACATGCTTGACCTAACTCCACACTAAGCATTCTGGTGCACTTGGACCCCCTGAGGATGAGATCTGAGTCTTTGAAGGGGCTCTAAATGTGAGTCCATCTTCCATTAAGATGGAGGAAAGCCAGTCTTGCCTTTCTTCCTCCTTCCCCCCATTGCCTTGGGGCTAGGAGGTGAAGAGGAAAGGTGGTGGAGTGGTGTTTTAGCAGCTGAACCATGGCTCAGGGCTGAACTAGGTGTTGGAGTGAAAGGATCCCTGTGGAGTCAACCTGCCCACACAGCTCAGTGCTCAGTACTTGCCATCCCACCAACCTGACCTGCTGTCTGGTACCTAACACTCTCTGAGGTTCCAGAGCTATGTTTTGAGCAGAATGACCCCAATTTAGTCATTGTTACAATTAAAACCATCTATACAGTCATTACGTTTAAGCCAACGAGAGAAAAACAAGTCCAGTATTTTCCAGCACGCTTGTAAAAATATGACACTTCCCCTAAAGCACCTATAAAGTGCCAAGATAAAATGAGAAAGTATCCTGGAAAGAGGAAAGTTGCTTGTCATATGGGTTTTCCTGTAGTGAACCTAACCCTCAGCAGAGCCCTAGCCCAAGCGACAGGGATCTGGCAGGAGACAGTGTCAGCCCTTGGAAAAGATGGTCAAACAATACACACAATTGGGTTTGCCCCAGTAGAGGAGTACGAGATACCATCTCATCTGTCTACAGGGGTCTAGACAGAACCTCTTTATTCTGATTACCAGGCATGAAGCTGCCTGCACAGAACAGAAATTTACGAAGCACATCTCAGGGAAATGAGAAAAGTTTGGCTCTAGCCCTCATCTTTTTTTTTTTGGCTTACTAAAGCAGTCTGAACTCTATGAATTAAATTACTCTGACCCTTCTATTACTTTGTAGGATTCGCATTCTGAAAGTTTCGTGAGATCTAACCCAATGAGCATCCTTTTCTTCCCACAAATGCACTGTCTACATCACTTCCACACAGCCTTAGCGTGGAACTGCAGCTACATAGGAAGAAGCATCAAAGTCTTCCTGGTATTCCTATGTGTGCAAGTTGCCTTTCTTATTAATTCTGCAAAGCACTAATATCACAACATTTCCCAAAACACAAGAAAAAGGAGAGGGGAAGGGATCAGCATTCATGAGCATTATTCACTATGAGGGTGGTGAGGCCCTAGCAGAGTTTATTCAGAGAAGCTGTGGCTGCCCCATCCCTGGCAGTGTTCAAGGCCTGGTTGGACACAGGGGCTTGGAGCAAGCTGCTCCAGTGGAAGGTGGAAATGGATGAGCTTTAAGGTTCCTTCCAACCCAAACCATCCCAGGATGCTATGTGTTATTCCCTCATTACATGGCATGGTCAAGGAAGTGCAACTGCTATAAAAATATAATGGGAAAAGAGAATAATATCTACACAGGGTGCAGTTCAATTTCACCCCTCTTATTCCTATTCCATCAGGACAAAGTAATGTCTGGGGTGCATAACAAAGTGTGGTTACAATGAGCAAGTTTAATCTTACACACATGCTTATTTATCTGCACACTGAAAATGCATATTGTGCAGAAGTGTTGATAGTCTGGAGACAGACATCAAGACAGGTTTATAGGCAGCAGTTATATCTTTATTGGAAAAGATAATTTATTGGGGTGGAAACAAACCAGACAAGCTTTAGGGCTTGCAAAGTCTTCTGAAGCCGTAGCATTTATAAAACACAAGATCAATTTCTGTCTTGGTGCTTTCCTTCAGCTAAATATTCTGCTGCTTATCTGAATGCTTTCATTTAAATGATTGGGTGTGATTGATAGAAATCACAGCTTTCTGCAGAGGGCAGAGAAAGCTCCGCAGCCCAGCCATAGGGCCTCATGCTGATAAGCACTGGGGCACATGCTTAACGTTATGCACTTGCTTGTCCTCAGTGTGATACACGCACATTACAGTTACTTTTGTAAACCAAATAACAGCGGTTTTCTGGTTTAAGGTTATTATATTTACACCATATGTATATTTCTGAAAGACTTCAAAATGAAGAAAACATTATTACTGATAAACTCTAGATCAATCTTTAAATTTAAAAGTAAGAGGAAAATAAAAAGGTGAATCCTTTAAATAGGATTCTGCAGCCTGGTTGCAAAGCTTCCAAGAACACATTGCAAGAAATAAGGGATCACAGTCAAGGAAGAGTGACCCACGCATGTCCATGTGGGGTGGGAAAGATGATAGCATCTGAAGGGCCTGACTGGACAACAGGACATGGACATAAGAGACATGGGAAGAGGAAGTCAGGAGAAAAAAAGCCTTGTAAAATACATGAGAAGAGGGGAAAAAAACCCAAAAGATAGGCATAGATATTGAAGTATGCAAGAAACTTTAAAACAATGGGACGAACAGATATGCAGACTCAGAATAGCCCTGAGTTTGGTCTTCTGGAGAGGTACAGAGGTGGGACAGCTTTGGCACACAGAGCCCTAAAGCCAGAAACACCAATGAATTTATCCCAGTGAAGGATATTTCACCCAGTCTCTTGCACAATGGCTGAGGAAAACACACTCCCAGTTCTCTTCTGCTGGTGTCAGGCCACCCACCTCCAAGCATAAGCCCAGACCTTCCAAAGAGCATCTGAGGGGCACCAGGAAAGGAGCGCGATGGGACGGGACTGGACATCTGCACTAATGAAGGGTTTCCATCACCCTGATCACACCCCGTGAGCTCCCAGTGCTGCAGTTCTTCATGCACACAGACATGCTGGTATTTCCTCTCTGCCACTCTTCACCCCCTTTACCCATTTTCATTACGATTTCTTTGAAGCTGGGACCATTAGATTTGTTTGCATTACATTAATAATGAGGCCTCTTCTCTATGGGGACTTTCGGTGTTACAGCAATATAAATAGTGTAATAATTGAAATCAGAGAATTGAGATGTTGGTAACGTGTCATGAGAGAGGATGAAAATCAGGCCATCTGTATCACCAGAAACTTCTATTAGAGCCAGGTTTCCTATCTCTTGTGTCACATGCACCTACTTACTCACCTACTTATTTCCCATTTCAGTGAAATTCTGTCCCATTCTTCCTGACGCAAGCTCGTCTCCCACTTTTTCACATGAAAAACTTCACAGTTGTGTCTATCTGTTTTCTATTTTCATCCTGCACTGAAGGTAACGCTTTTGATCCACAAGCAGCCCACAGGCTGATGCAGCATACCTTATTCTTCTTTTTTCCAGCAATATAAAAGATGCTTTGTACAACTCGTGAGATGAGTCGGTGTTACCTGTCAGTGGCTTTTGTGTGGCTTAAATATTCTTCACCTGCCATGTACTTCTGCAACTTTCCTTCTTTGCACAGTATCGCACAACCTTGTTGGCAAAGAAGTTCAGAGCAGTTTTCATCTTTTTGCTTTATATTTCACTTCCTTCGAGCTCCGTGCAAAATAAACTCCAAGACTGCAATGTGATGCCTTTGTTCAATGGCTGCTGCCTCCTGAAGAAGCCCAGACATACTTCACATTTGTCTTTACATAAAATTAATAAGCTTTTTGTCAGGCAGTGCAATTTATTTGTCCTTATGATAAATAAAAAGGTGAATGTTCTCGGTACTGATTGGGT